CATACACGACACACAAACACAAAAAACGTGAACGACAGATAATATATATTTATTTTTCTTTGTTTGTTCCTATTCCGAAGTTGAGTATATGCGAGAGAATATTATAAACTCGTCATTCAATTACTATTAACTCTTATGTATTCTCTATCCATCTATGTACAGCACTTCTATGAGTTAATGTGATATCTATTATATTAAATAAATTCAAACAGATACGAAACGAAACGATGCGATTTGTGATTATACGTTCAACAATACGTGTTGTTTATTACCACTAAACGAGTACGAAATAAAGAATTGAGCGAAATTTTTAACGATATTTACAAGGAACCCACGGAATTTTTAACTATTTTTTTTTCTTTTTTTCTCTCTATCTTGTGCGCACGATCATTATAAATTTATACCTGGCAATTAGTAGCAGGAAGCTTGTATTTCATTTTACGAAACGATAAAAACTTGTTTTAAGTAAATAAGACGAAAGATCGATGAATTTAAAACTTGAACAAATATTAAAACTACATGCGGCGTTACAAGTTTCGAAATAAAAATTAAACCGAAAAATGTGGTTGATTTTCATTCAAAATTTCCGCAAAATTATTTTAAGATTTGAAGAAAGGTCGCAACGAAAAAATGGAAAATGCAAATTTTAGGTTAAAAGTAAATTTAATTCCCAGAATAACATAATTTTCTAATGCAATAAATAATTTTGATCTTGTACGTACGTAAATAGACCTTATGTTAAAGTATATCTTTTGTCTCGCGCGAATGACCTGGACCTTGATGGCTCGCAATTAAGATAAGTATAATCATGATCAATAATAAATATATGTTTTTATATATGCATCATGAAGCTTAAATGGTATAAAGAAAGAAAATTGTCATTTCAATTAAACGAATAAAATCACGAAAAGTCAAAAATTAATCCTACAAGTTTCTTTTTTTAAATAAAAATTTGATCGATTCATGGCACTGAAATGCTAGCGTCGCACAACGGTAAAACGGTAGAAATCTAACGTTCTAACTAAAATCTATTCTTGTCGCATATTTTAGCTTTCTTTGTTTTTCGCGCAGTGTATTTTTGTCCTTGTCTCGCAGTATCGTGCTCCTTGTCAGATAGACAGTTGTGATACTGCCATCTATCGGATTTTTCAGTTTTCTTATTTTAGTTCCAGTCAGAGCTGAATGGTGCTCAGATGGCAGCACTATTCTTAGACAAAGAACGCATTAACGTGCGACAAGGACAACAATAGATTTTAGTTCGATCATTTCACCGCTACGCGGCGCTAGCATTTCCATGTTGATAAATCGATCAAATGTTTTAATTGTTCATTCTAATATATAATTATTTATTATAAAGCTATGCTCAAGATACAAGCGCATAAAATAGCTTGTATAATTTTTAGAATAATTGATCCAATAATATAAATATTTACTACTCATAATAATGCAATTATTTTATATTCACTACCTGTATAAAATTTGCGATTTTAAATATATAGAATCATAATATCACAATCAAATTAGATAACTCGTATTAAAAGCAATCATACAAAATTTAAATAAAATGAAACACTTCCTGCTCTTTGTATTTTTCTCAAATAGTTTTATTCAAATTCAATTGAATTTTTTTTTAACAGTCTTGCAATTATAATTTTCTATTCATAAATTAAACAAAAAAACATATATAATTTGTACAGATAATAAAAATAAAAATTTTTTATTATTATAAATTAATGCGGCGATAAGACAAATATATATTAAAAAAAGCTTGTACTTGTAAAATATGAACTTATAAAACAATATGTTAGAAGATGACTCCAATGGAGAATAATAACTCCTTTGATTTGTAAAAAATTGAAATCACTTTGGTATTTGACGGATTGTTGAATTCATTTCGATTTTCCATAATCGATATATCTCATATAATAATTATACACAGGTTAATGAAATGAAACCAAGTACGAAATTTTCCTTATGTAAAGAATATTAAAGACGTAATTTCATTTGTTTAATATATCAATTATAGCATTGTGCGTAAACAAAATAAAATACTTTTTAGCTAGCTTTATTATACTGCATATTTTTATGTATTATCTTTCCTCTGTCTTTTCTGTAATATCGTTATAGAAAAAAATTGCAGTCACAATTCAATATAATCCTTCATAAACACTACATAAGCTTTTTTTAAAATTAATATTTATCTTTAGTGTACTGAAAGTACACAGGACTCGAATATACAAAAAAAAAAAAAAAATGATGCTCTCTGACTTTTGTGCAAAGTATTATTTGATTGCTACCTTTAAAAATTAAATAATTCGTATTAACTAACATATTCTTCATTAACTAAATCTAATTCTCACTAATATATTAAATATAATTGCACAATTTTTCATCTTTTCTAATTTCATTCTTAATTTGAATTATTCGTCATTTAGAAACATATTCAGATATGACTTCGCTTGATTAAATTAATAATAAATATTTTCAATGAAATGCGATGACTTGCCTTAAAATCAAAAATGTCCCTACTATTTACAGTGTAAACATAGCCAACTTTCAATATGCTAAATTTACCTAAGCTGATTAGAACACTATCATTTTTAAGTACAAGGCATTCATGTGTAAAAAGTTTTACTTAGCCTATAGTTTACATAGGCAAAATAGTAAAGGAATAAATGCCCCAATAGCTACAAAAATTGGTAACATTACTGAGGAATCATCGATTGAATAGGGATCTGGAGTTCTGGGGCCACTTGTATGTCGACTACGAACTGTAGATTCTTCTTCATCTTCCTGTATATTGTGATATTCATCTGGTTCCTGTGGAATCGGACCCAATTGTGGTATATCTAAAAGACATTTATAAATAATTATAATATTTATCTTTTAAAGTTTTTAAATATCACGCAATAAAAAAATAGATACCTTCTATATTTCCTTTTACTACAGCAATAGCATTTATCTTTGGGTTGTCTCTGTAACCCTGCAATTAAAATCGCTTAAAATTAATCTAATTGCAGTTAAATTAAATTGTATGGATGAATACTAAACATGAATACAGTACTTTTATAAATTCAACTCTAATTTTTCCAGCTAATATATCAGACTCTTCGTCATTATATATTAACTTCCCAGCTTGAACTTTGAATGGAATATATTCGTCATGTGCTACACCACGTCCAACTCTCTCAAAAATATCTAAGTCAGTAACAACGGTATGGTCACCATTTAATACAACATCAAACACCTAAGAAAACACATTATGTTTAACGATAATGTTTAATATCGTATTATAATCACAATGTTACCTTCATATTAGGAGAATTGAAATAAACTTCACAGAACTTTAATATCATAACATAATCTCCATCTTCGCTTATTGGAATATCATATCCAAATGTGCTATGATGATATCGTTCAGTTTGATATAAGATCTGATCAATTGCATTTACTCTTCCGATAATTAATTGCTTGCCATAATCAGATGCTGTTCCAACTTTACCCATTAAAGGATCTCTAGCATAACGAATTCCATAACTATCAGTATGCGCTTCACCGCCAGCATTTATTGCATATATTACTTCTAAACTCTGCAAACTTTGTACACAAAAGACATGTAACAACGTTGATATTGTCAGAAAATGTACTTCCCATACCGCAGTCATTTTTATCTATTAAATGATAATGTTCAACTGTCTCGATGCGAGACTGTAAACATAACTTATAAAAAATTTTTCTAACCGGCAAATGAGGTTATATTTAAAAGAGAAAGACATCTAAATCTAACAACATATTACATTCATATTACATGTAAAAAAGTAGCTATGCCATTCGATTAAATTAAATTCTGTATTAATTGAAATTAAAGTATTACACTATTTGTTTTGAAGACAAATGTCATTACTACTAGGTCACGAATTATGTATTTCTAACTATATATTGACATAGTCACGTTACATTAAGTGGCCAGTGACATTAGGTTAGATGCACGTATGGATACATGAAACCGTCTGTAGTGATATACTATAAGATACGATATTTTATATTTTACATTTTGTAAAAAATATATATGTAGTTATCTACAAAATATAAATACGTCAAATTTTTATTCTTAAATACTTTCTAATATTCTGCAAATTGTTATCGATCAAGAAAAACTGAGGATACTTTGTACATAAATTTTATTTAAATCTTTCATATCTTCTATACATACATGTAACAAAGTATTAATCGTATAAATCAATTATTTGTGTCTTCTGAAAAGATAGTTCTGTTTATACAGTAATCATTAATATTACAAAGAAATCATATCCTTAACTTTCGTTTTCTTTTTAAAAGTCAGTTTGTCTTTACAACATTGCTATATTTACTTAAGGCCACTTCGTTTTAGCTGGCTCACCTTGTAAAAAAGGAAATAAATAAATGTATGCTTTCGTATCTTTTCTTCACTTTGCCTACAAAATCCATAATTCAAAAATTAATTTTTAATCAATTCTACAAATATTAATAATATTTTTACATTTAATATATATTAGCAATACTATAGATTAATATTATCAATACTGTAAATATTAATAATTTAATAAATTAATTAATATTGTAAATATGATATTCATATTTATGATATTCATATAGTAATTTTCTTTCCAATTAGACCGGTTTTTTTTTATAGATTCTTCCTCATTTTGTTCATGAAATTATTTAATTTGGCAATATTTCCTATGAAATTGATAGAATGAGAATTTTATTCAGTACACTTTTAAGTAATAATAATAAAACTTGCAGGCTTTTTCGATATATGTATAGTATCAGCATACAATGGCTGATAAGTACATACATACACACATACATACAAGAATAGCTTGACCGTTAACGTTGTACACCTGGCTGTGCCCTTTCTTCTTTCTTCTATTTTTGAAAGCCTTTGAAAATGCTAATGATGAGATTTCGCGATTAAAAATGATGCAGATGTAGTCTATAGATAGTTGTATTATAGTCTGTACATACTCACATTATGCTGACATTATAATAATGTTCGATCAAGTTCCTACTTCATTTCTAGGAAGTTATAACAAAATTATTTTATTACAAGTATATTATTTGGTAATAAGGAAACAAACAAATTTGTTATGAATTTGAACAAAAGATTTATCTAAAATTTTTTATTATTTTACTGATTTTACAAAGATGATATATCATAGATAAATTACACTTAATAGATAATTTGCCTTTACTGTTTAATAATGTATTGGTATGTTAGATAGTATACGTATCTATATATGTACATTGAATCAATGAGATAGAGATAGATCGCGAAATTTTGATGTTTTTCTTTTTTTTATTAGTTCTCTTCTTACACAATAAATTAAGATGGATTAAATGAAATTAGGAAAATTTGTTGCTTTCATTAATTCCATAAATCTATCAAAATCAAGTTCATTTTTATCATAATTCAATAACTGAAAGTTAACTAGAATAATCTAGAAGAAAGTGAAGCTTTCTATCGATCAGATACACGATTATATTTTAGGTGTGATTCACATTGATCACGTGAACACTCCAATAGCTGTATAAATTACACTCGATGTAAAATATATAATAAAAAGTATATGCTTGTAAAACTAGCTTCAATAAGGGCCTTGAATAAACAACGCACGTGTATGTATGCATGTATAGTAGTAGCATATTGAACGGATATAGTATAACTATACCACACGAGGACGTACTGGAAGATTCTGCACTGTTCGTGAACTCTAGCGTAACGCTTATCGTCATTGATTTCGTGACTGTACTTTATTGCATATATAGACATATTCCTAGAAAAGTTTTTAAAATTTTACATTATATGATCAAAAAAATATTTATGTATTGAAGGACACATTATAAAAATATTGTTTTATGTTCTTTTTCTTTGTCTTTATTGTTATCAATGGCAGAATTTATGTATTTAATGTATTCTTACAAAAATAAATGGTTGCAAGATATAATTTGATATTTTTTTGTTCCAAACTGTAATTAACCTCGTATTATTTGTAGTACGACATACACATAGATTTTATACATAAATTACACATAAATATATACATATGTGTATGGTTCATGCGTCACGATTAGTATCGTCACAACGAGAATGCGTACGTTACACTTATATGTATTCATTATACAGTTTTTCAAATGGAAATTTTCGTTATATTGAAACTGTAGTACTTTGTAGACTTTTTTTCTTTCTCTCTCTCTCTCTCT